GAATGGCATTGGCTCAAGACCGACTGGACGGACTGCCTGGTTGCATAAAGAAGTGTTCGTGATTGTGTGATTGTGGAAAGGGATTGATCTCGTGTTAGATTGCTCTCGCTGTCTGGATTGTATAGTGGAATTTTGCACCTTCCCTCCTTCCCTCCCTAGTCTGCCCAAGCATCCTCGAAGCACCAAAGTCCCAGAGGCCACAAAATTCCCCCGGTCGGCACCTGTGGTCATCGGGGTTGTACGGCCCTCCAGCATCTTGGGCAATTGCTCCTGCCATCGAGCATGTTCACAGACTTTCCCATTCGTCACATCAAAGTGGTTTGTGGAGCAACGTTGCCTGCGTGCCTGTTTAACCTGTTTGCACTCGCAAGAACCTGGCCTAGGACTTGCTAGCGGCTAGCGCATGCTTCAATCCGCAACATTGACATTGATGCAACAACCTCTTTGGCTGGAGTATACTTATCTGATCAGTACTCTTATTCTCACAATGCAAACCTCGACCACTATACTTCATGTCGTGGGCACTCTTGACTGCCAGACCTGGCACTGTTTACCCAAGAAACCGGATAGCATTATTGGCATCACAATGATCATCCTATCTTGAGAGTGATATGATGACAATGACGCATAAGAAGTTGCACATGATGCGGTGCATGAAATGCTGCTGAAGACGGTGATGGTGAGGATGGCGACGACGACAACGACGATTGGTAATAGCCATGCTGACGAAGGTGATGATGGCAATTGTGAAGATTCACGACTGCTGACACCGACTATGATCTGACTATGATGGTGGTGGCGGTGGTGATAATAATGATGACGACCACGATGATCAGAATGACGCATAAAACTTGAGGGATGTATGCAGCTTTCGTTGACCACCCTTCTGAAGGGCTGCATCGTGATGGAACTGGCTGGAGGAAGCACTGGACTTGAGTGGAACGCGAGACATTCCACCAAGTTGTGCTCTGCCTGATTGATGGTGTTCCGCCGTTTGCAAGATACAGCGTCCGGTGGCACGGTCAGGCTTCGGCTTCGATACATGCCCTTGAAGCCTCGGTGCCGTGAGTCTTCCGTCAACTCCCTGCAGTTTCACGAACATTGGACGGTACGAGCCGCATGCTTTGTGGCTATGCATTGTCGACTCCAGTGTCGCCCGTCTCTCCAGCCTGCATCATGTCGGAAACGAAGGTGTTTCCCCTCCGCCAACACGGCACGTCTGGAGCTGACCCAACAGCTGAAAACGAGTATAGAGCTGCTACAGAGGCAGTTTGATGCCCTCGGCGACTAGCATGAACTATTGAAAGCTGATGTGACAAAACAGCATTTTGATGCGATGCTCGCCAAACGCATCTCGATGCATGCTGACCCCTGCCTCGAAGGGCACTCGTGCCATTGCGGCTACATGTAGCCGAGGACGTTAGGGGTTTGTTCTTGCTTGGTACTCGCTGGTTGAAAAGCTTCTCTCTAATGATGACGACGACGATGATAATGATGGTGCCGGCGACGACAAAGCTTTCGTCGACGAGGACACTAACATTGATGCAGGCCATCATCATCCCCAACATCATTACCATAATCACATGTTCATGGTCATGATGATGAGGATGGAAGGATTCGCGCCTTGACATGTATCCGCTGCTGCAGGGCGTGGGTGAGGAAGGTGCCGTCCACCAAAACGTGATACGGCTCCTACAGGTCCAAGAGCAAGGCAAAATTGTAGCCGTCGTGTGACAACCTCAATCCTCATTATTACATTCATGGAATCAGGCAACCAATCATGGGGTCAAAACATCAGTCTGGCAAGCATGAGCTGCGGCTCCAGCTGCTCCGATTCTGCAACTTAGCAAACACGACAACCCTCAACAGAACGCCATCGGCCATGCATTCGAACCTGTCAACTGAAAGTCTGCCGGAGCTGCTGCTTCAAGCTATCTTCCAAAATGATCCATTCCGTCTTCCACCACCCCTTCCCACCATCAATGGGCCTGGATGCCAAATGTCAGGCGGAAGAAGCGCAGGATGCGTCGATGATTTTTGTGTCTTTTCACGCGCATTGCAGCAGCAAGGCAAACCCGTAAACTTGGACTCGTGAGGCTACACCGTTAATCATCCACAAGGCTTTGAAAGGGCGAGGACACTGCCAAAATCTAATAATGCTGCATTCTCTCTTGGAAGGTCAGGGCTGAGAAAGACATAGCAAGTAGAAATACCGTGTTCTTGTCTCCTCCCGCGCACACAGCCGATATGTTCAGCAAAACGGTAGGAGTGTCAAAAGAAATTTGGAGGCAAACAGAAACCAACAAAGGCAAGCAGGACGATCGGCAGCCAAAGACCAGGAGATGGTTCTCATTCCCAAACTTCTCTTGGGACTCGGAACAAGCAAAGCTATGCAAGCAAAGCTCCTGCCACATTGTTTGTGCTTCGAATTGGAGATGTGGTGCGCTGTCGCGGCAAATCCTACAAGCCTTACGGCTACATACCTGCGTTTCAAGGAAGTCAGCTACGACACCTTTGCTGCCGGGGCCGACAGCTGATGTTTTATCATCGCTGTGAGAGAGTACCAACATGCATTCAACGTGACGTCATGATCACATGCGACGCTGCGCATTGTGATTCTACTATCTACGAAGATGTCAGGTGTGACTTTCACCGTGGAATCAGCTGCAAGCCCCTGTGCAGAGCAGCTTAAAGGATGGGCCGTGCACCTTTGCGAGAACGCAGGCGGAAGTTGTCATGATGGCAATCGAAACAGCAAGCATAGCCTCTACACACAAAGTGTGGATGGCAAGACTGGCTGCTTGAAACATACAGGATTGACACTGGTCACGTAGCAGAGGAATGGGTAGAGTGGGACTATGACATCGGCTTCCTGTCACCGGAATAAAATCCAGCATCAAACGGCTTGCCCAGTTGATGAAACCAAATAATACACCATAGGGCATTTTGTGAGCGAAGTCACCCTGTGATTTTGGCTCTGGGGAGCAACTTCCGCTTCTGCGAGGCTTTCGCAGACGGCGTTCCACGGTTGATTAGGTGCAGCCCGCTGTGCTGTTGAAAGTGGGATAGGTCGTGGCTTTCACAGCCATCCCAGTGCGAAACATGTAGCGGTAGCGAAACAAGGCTACCGACTGAGAAAAAGGCTTCAAAAGCGAGCTACTGTGGGTCGTCTTTGTGCATCGCTGATACGCTGCATCGTCCGAAAAGAGTTTGCAGCGCAAGTCAGATTGACCTCGGAGACGGGATGCAATCGCTTCGAAGCAGAAAGTCTTGCGGCCTATGTCGCACGAGTCTTGCCACTATTGTTCCCCCTGCTTACCATCACTACTCATTGCTGCTAGCATGCTTACTAGAGTTACGAGTGTGGAGTGAATGATCGGTGAGATCATGTGCTAGAGAGACCAGGTTCTGGGACAGGCACATTTCTCGGGTGCCTCTTGTTGCAGAGCTTTCGCCGGTACCGGGATGACGGACTAGCGCCTCGATGCAAGTTCTACCGCAAGGCTACAGGCTACACGAACGCATTGTCAGAACCTTACCATGGCTCGTGAAAACAAAACATGCCGCGGACGTGACTTCCAGAACAGCACAGCAAACAACGGCATTTGTCGCCGTCCTTTTCATCTCCAAGGCGGTCTCCGTGGCTTGAAGCATGCCCTGACAGGCGGTTGCAAACGTGCAAGCTCATAGCTGGACAGCATCACTGTTCCAAACAGCTGCCCCAACGCCTTGCATGCTGTGAACCCGTGCGTTTGTTAGCTTAGTAAAGCAAATTCAGATTTTCAAGTTCCGGCATCAACTGTCTTGAAAGTCAAGCGACGCGAAAATACTGTCTTGAGCTAGACAGATAGAACTCATAAAGGGCAGGCAGAGGAGACAGCCTGGCTCAACATGGCATGGTCATCTCCCAGATGCATCAAAAACCTGCTGCTGCTGCTGCTGCTGCTGCTGCGTGTGCTCTTGATGTTCGGCGGCGTCCTCGAAATGTCTGAAAGCTTGTCATCCGTAGTTTTGCTGGGTAGCTGCGAGCTGAGAGCTACCCTCGTCAATGCTATCACATCGCAGGCTACTCCGTTTTCTTTCGCCCAATCTTGTCGCACCCTGTCGTCTTCTGGTGGTCAAATGCGGCAGCAATTAATTGCACAAGTTTTTTGATGCCAGAACACTGCAAGCCCTAACAACCCGACACACCAAAGCCCGAGACCACGCTTTGTTTAATTTATGAACAAATACCAAAGACTTGTGCTGAAATCAGAGTTGCCTGGAGACGATCACGAAGTTTCCGCAGCTGACTGGAATCCATCAGCTTCCTGCACAAATGACTTTGAGTACGGGGTTTTGCCTTTAGCAGAAAACTCATCTGACAAGCTAAAAGTCAACGCAGTGGTCTGGTGCCTTAGGGTTCAGATTATTGTCAAAGTTTCCTGTCAGTTTCTCGATTGCAAAGCTTTTGGGGGCATGGCTGATTCTTTCCTACAGGCTTCAGCCTCCGTAGAGCTGCTTAAGGCCGTCTTGGGGGTTGGATTGCTGACGATTTCCATCGGGGGGTGGCCTTGATCTGCCTACGTCTTTAACGTCACTTACGCGGAATTTACGCGCTAAACCCTGTACGGGAACCTAATTTTTGGCATCTATGGCGCTACGAGGCACTCAGGGTGAACCTGAGCAGTAGCAATCATAAACAGGACGTAAAAGGTGAGAGGTAGTTGCCGTCGGCGGTGGGTCGTTTTGAGGTTGTGGGTAGTCTAGTGGTAGTAAGTGGATAGCAGTACTGTAGCAGTAGGAGCCGCAGTAGTAGTAGCAGCAGCAGCAGTAGTAACAGCAGTTGCAGTAGCAGGAGCATGAGAAGTGGTGGTGGCAGTAGTAACAATAGCAATACTAGCAATAATGATGATAATCATAATAACAGTGATAGTAGTAATAGTAGCAACCGTCACAATGAATAACAATATTCACAATAGTAGTAGCAATAGCACCAATAATAATAATAAAAATAAACATACTCATAGTACTAGTAAAAGTAACGGTCATAGTAATGATGGTAGTAGGAATCGCAGTAAACAGTAATAGCAATAGTAATAGTAGTACGGCAAGTAGGCTAAACAGGTCAGTTGCGCAAAAAATGTTACCTTTAGCGGCACCATCGCAGAACTCTTGCGACGGCATATTTAGCTATGCAGTGGTGTTTCATACAAATTGTGGCTCAAGGAGCTTTTAGATCAACAGCGTAATATACACAAAAAAGTTAAAAACAGAAAACTATTCATTTATTGATGTGTTTATGTACATAAATACAAACATGCCAAACTACGTGCATACATACATACATACATAAATACATACATACAGACATACATACACACATACATACACACATGCATACACACATACATACACACATACTTACACACATTCATACACACATTCATACATACATACATACATACATACATACATACATACATACATACAGGTCTATACCGCCATGTAAGGCTATCATCGCATGTTGTCCTATCTTCGCTACGGAAACTGTTAACTTGTAGTATGACGAGTAGAATGTCAAGCACTGTCAGTGCCGAGCTTACTGTTCCCATTCGTTCTTTTACCGAGCTGCAGAGTCTCTGCCGTCAGCGCTTCCGTGCCGACCCGCAGGCCCTCCTGGCTACACGGTGTGTAGGAGGCAATTGATAACTTCAAGCGCCGCTCTGATAACTTAAAGCTAGGTTCCCGCAGCCTGCATCTTAAAGTGTGTGTTAGAGGACGGTGTGTGAATTCCTCAGCTCGGTCCGCAACGACCCTTTGCTCCCGGTCGACCTCACTCTTCTTGGAGCGCGGGGAGTTCGCACGCGACGCTAGCGGTGTGGCCTGTCGGAGCAACGAAAAATGTATCAGGATGATGATGCTGCAGTCTCGCCTGCTTCGATGGCAGTAGCGACCGACACTTGAACCTGTTTGCCTGTCATTTTCTAGTTCACCGCAAGTTGAATCTCCGTGTATTTCTTTCGCAACGGTTTCTGGAGAGCTGCGAAGCGGTCCCATATGTTGTGCCTGTCACTGTCGCTCTAGCTTTCTCCACATATCTTGCAGATCAACATTGCTGTCATAAGGTACAGGCTTTCGAGTGATATTGGTTATCATCACCTTTAGGCTTTTGGATGTACCACTGCTTTAACAGAACTATGTTCAACCATTTGAAGCTCACACTCGACGACAATCTCGAGCCTCTGGAGTCGGACCAAGAGACGTGTAGACCTGACCCGGGAAGCAGCTCGAAGGTATGGGGTAGAGTCGCTAGATCATGCTAGATCCAGGAGGAGATCGACTGATTCCTCCGTCGGCCTGTGGTGTCGCCGTCCTCTTCACCCACACACGGTAGCCATGGCCATTCGGTCCGTGAGACCAGTAGTTCCTGCGAGGTAAACAAAAGGGTTCAGCGCTCAACTTAGCTCATTTGGCAGCTGTGCTCTCCGTCTGCATACTGCTGTGCATAGTAGAGAGAGCATGATAGACTCTGCGGCACAATGGCTTGTGGCGAGGATGATTGGCTTATGTAGATCACCGGCTGTCATGTCTGGCTGGCCAGCTGGACGCGGGCCAAGTGCTACTCGCAACGCTGGTGGCTGGCCGATCTCGGCCAAGTACAAGGTATCGTCGGCGCACTGAATGTTTACCGGGGCATCCACAGGAATGCCTCTCGCGAACACACATCTCAATCACGTCTATCAGCACGCAGCTTACAAATCTGACCCGGTGCGGTGCTGCAAGAGTGCGCGAAGCATCGTTTACGGCGACGGGCCTGAATCTCGTCGGGCCTTGAGCAATGATGCAATTTTCTTGCGATGCTCGTCACCCCAGTCCATGATGTGGTCCCAGAACACAGACGGAATTCCTGCTGAAGCTTTGCTGCAGATTTCTGTCACGAAACTCATGAGCTCTTGATGCCAAGCCGTCGCATCCTGGATGTGTCAAGATGTAGGCATAGCCCATCATCACCTAACACGACATATCTCAGGACTGCTGTCCTCCCGACATAACCTCTTCGACACTAGTCAGACTTTCCCTGTCTGTGACAGGCCTTGTCGTCAGGAAAGGGCCAGTGTCGTTGGGTGCTGCCCGTGTCGTGGTTGTCGATGAAAGTCACCGCATATCCCCTCAACTTGGGCTGGCTCTCCAACCATGAGATACAGGGACCGACAATGGTCAGCAACTACAAGAAAAAGGAAGCATGCCGAGGGGCGGAAGCCAGCCAATCAATCCGGGTGGCTTCCCGTTGCAGTCACGCAACCTGGCACTATGTCGGTCATTGCTGATCTTAGGTGCGGAAAAACTCTCTCAACCCATACATACACAGTTACATACGTACATACATACATGGATGCATACATGCATGCATACATGCATGAATTCATTCATACATACATACATACATACATACATACATACATACATACGTGCAGACGCACAGACCGACATACATACATACATACGTACATACCTACAACTATACATACAGATATCAGCAAGAAAGACAAAAGACCGACAGACCGACAAACAGACAGACCGACGGGCAGACGGACAGATGGACAGACGGACGGACAGACGGACAGACGGACAGAGGGACAAAGGGACAGACGGACAGACAGGTAGACAAACCCGCACACGCTGACATGCGCACACACTCACACACACACACACACGCAGCAGTCAGACAAACACATACACATGTACATGTTTGGACACACCTGCGTGTACATGTGAATGTGCAATGTAAACATTTACTCATATATATATATATATGAGAGAGAGGCGCCTCTAGGGTCTATTTGACGCCCTGT